ACCTCACTTTTGCAGAAGGAATTCCACCAGAACCGGAGGATGTTTCACAGAGCGCCGGTAGCAAATGGTCCAGATTTGCCAGTTTCATGAGAGCCAGACGGTGAGGTTCCTTTTGTGTGTTGGGTCTTTTGGGGGTCGGCTTTTCGTGTTGGTTTTTTCGTTTCCGGTTTTTTCTCCCCCCCGAACCGTCTGGTTAGTTTTTCACACCTTTCAGGATGCAAGGACATCCGCGCAGAGGCAGGGCTGTTCGCTAACAGCTGGCAGTCCTGCCTCGGAACAAGAAGCTTGATCTTCCCCATTCGTCCTTTTGCGTCACTTCCCAAGTTCGAAGACGGGAAGCCGGCCAGCGAGTCCGGAGTTTTCCGTCAGACATATGGGATTCGCCATATGTCTGACGGAGTTTTCAGGGAGACTAAAACTAAAGGCCGGCATGCAGCTGAAGTACATGGGAAGCAAATCCTGGCTGGCTCCGCGCCTGGACCGGCTGCTGGGCAACGTGACGGTGCTGCACTCACCCTTCTTCGGTTCCGGAAAGCTGGAGTACTACCTCGTCCGGACGCGCCCGAACCTGGAGGTGCGTGGCGCCGACGCCTTCGAGCCCGTCGCAAACCCCGCTGCTACTTGAGACGGGGCCCGGTCTTCCTGCACTCCCTGCTGCGCCTGGTGGGGCACAAGGTGGACAGGCGCTTCTACTTCAGGCGCCTCCTGCCGGGCGCTCTGAGAGGCCGTGCCGGGCGTCGGGCGGCCTGCTCGTACGCCCTGCTGCGCAAAGCTTCTCGGAAAGCGGGGCTCCTTCGCGCGGCAGCAGCGGCCACTGGCGCTGAGCAGCGTGCGGCGTTTGCGTCGGCCACCGTCCAACGTGGTCGTGCGGCACCAGGACGCACTGGCCGCCCTGCCCGGCGCCCCAGCAAACCTGCATCTACGCCGACCCTCCCTACATCTTCCCCGGTCGCACCATGAACTACTATGGCACGAGGGGGCATGACCTGGCCTTCCGCTCAGAGCTCCAAGACGCACTCTTTGCAAGCGGCCTGCCCTTCGTCCTGAGCATCAACGACGTGCCGGAGGCCCGAGAGCTCTACAGCAGGGCCGACTCCATCACGAGCCTGAGCTTGGGCAAGAACTGTTCCAAGCCCGAGCTGCTTGGGCAATCCTGTTGCCAGCGCAGGATTGACGGGGGCAATCCTGTTGCCTGCGCAGGATTGACGGGGGCAATCCTGTGCCCAGCGCAGGATTGATGGCAAGGCAAGTGAAAACCACTCCGCCAGTGATATGGCTAGAACCATATCACTGACTAAACTCCGGCGCAGGGTTTTTCGGGCTGAAAACCAAAACTTGGTCAGTGATGCTGTTCTCGCAGCATCGCATACAGCCGCACTAGGCCCGCACCAGGCCCGCGCCTGGCCGGCGCTGATGTTCTGAAAGTTCTGGGCGAGCTTTCTGCAGTGTACAAAAATGTCGCACACTGCCTGGTTGGTACCTGGCCCGCACCAGGGTTTTTCGGGCAAAGTCGACGGACTCAAGACATTCTCGTTGTAGTGCATGGCTACAATATTGAGGGAAAATATCCTTCAATTCAATTCCCTGGTCAAGGTTGTCACAGGGCTCCAGCAGCACCTCCTGCACGGTGGCGTAACGTCGTCGGCCCCCGTCGAGGAACTCGTGCTTCAGCAGCAGGGCGGTAAAGTACATCTTGGCCGGCTCCAGGTGCCCTGGTCCCCCACGAAGCTGCCGTACAGGGGGTCGTAGACGTTGTCGGACATGTACACCACAAAGTTGGAGGCCGCGCCAGCAGGTTGTCGGGGCAGGGGCGAGGACCTCGGCAGGCTGCTGTGCTTGGGCGAAAAACGGAAAATCGTGTGAAGAACGAAGTCTTCGGGAAGTCGGGAAGTTGGCCGTTTTTGGGCATAGAAGGAACCTCCGAGGATGTTGCAAACGGGAAAAGTGGCCTGTCCATGAGCCGTTTGTAGATATCGACGCAAAAAATCCAGTCCAGAATTTCAACATTGTACGGGCGAGGGACAGCTTTTGCACCAGGGTGGTCATGGTAAAGCACGTAGTGGGGCCGCTTAGGCGTACCTGTGTTAATGGGGATCCGGTGCGCGTCTGGAGCTTGTTTTCGGCCGAAAACGAGCAAATCGAGAGGCTGAGGCAACTCACTTGCCGTCTGACCGAAAAAAAAACGAGCTTTTCGGGAATTTGGGAAGTTGGCCGTTTTGAGCACTTTTTCGGCCCAAAAAAAAGCGCTCACATCAAACGGTGACATCGGAAAAACGTTCAGCAGGATGGAGAATTTGGCTGTTTTGGATGGTTTTTCAAGCAAAAAACGAAAATTAGTTGGTCCCTATAAGCCTTAGTTCCTCACTACTTCCGCTCAGCGCAACGGTCGGGTCTTCGAAGTGCGCTATGATATCGAGCGCGCTGGTCGCCTTCCTGGAGCCGCCGGGGGCGTTTCGTCAGCGCGCTTCGTCTCTTCCACCCGGTATACCGGCGTGCCTCCTTGTGGCCAGCGCCTCGAGGCCCGCAGCCGCTGCGTTGCAGGCAGTCCATCTTCACCTGCGTGAGGTAGCGCGGGGGCGCGTCCAGGATGGCCACCACGCAGTGCTCGAAGCCCAGGACCGCGTCGTGGATGGGACGGTGGGTGCCGTTGCTCAGCAGCGCAGCCTCCTGGGAAGTCCACACCGTGGATGGGACGGTGGGCGCCGTTAGCCTCCTGGCGTAGACGAAGTCCACACCGAGGCCTGGGAGAAGTCCGCCCCCGCCCCGTCCAGCTTGCTGCTGCTGCTGAGCACGCTGTAGACCACGCGCCCACAGCCCGATCATCGCGTTCACGCTGAGCTTGGCCATGTGCTCCTCACCCTCGGACCAGGCGGCGTCCCTCCGCTCCAGGGTGCGCGCGGATGCCCGACACGATGTGGGTTACGCCCAGGTCCAGCATCGCTGCCAGCAAGACCTTCGGGTACCAGCCGGGCCCCACGTACGGCAGCAGGAGGTTCAGGCAGGACACTGCCTCGTGTCGCAGCAGCCCTCCACGAAGCCCAGGTCCGGCAGCGGCAGCTCCGGGCGTACTGCTCCGACCCCGGGCGCCACCGGCTCTCCAGGCTCGTGGGCTGGGCGCTCCCCCTCAGCGTCTTCTTGCTGTGGCACCTGCAAAGTTTGCGCGCTGCCCGCAAAGACCTGCCGCGCCGGCACGATGTGGTCCAGCTCGCAGGCAAAGTCGGAATTCCGACCTTGGGTGGCGCGGCTCGGCAGGCTGGCGGCTTCGATGCCAGGCAGGACGCGGCGCGGCTTGGCAGGCTGGCGTCCCAGCCTGGCCCGGGCCCGGGACAAGCGTCAAGCGCCAAAAACCGTCAAAAACCCCGACAAGCCAGGCGCGGAAGAGCGGCTGGCGCCTCTACATCTTGAAAACAGACAAAATCTCCGAAAAAGGCGGCCACGAGGCACTGTTTGACGCCTTGCACTTTTGACCGTTTTGACGCCCTGTCAAATTTGGCAGAGGGTCAGGGTCAAACCGTCAAATCCTGGCCCGAAAAGGAGGCGTAACCGGCTCTGCAGGCTTTGGCTGGAAGCAGTGAACAAAATTCTAACTATGTGGCCATGTTTAGAAAAAACGCACACCTTTGCTTGAGGTTGAAGGTGCAGTGTTGCAGCGTGTTTTGGACGCCGCGGATGTAGGTGGTTTGCTTGAAATGTGAAAGATTTTCGTTTGCAAGGGTTTAGAACGCAGGCGTTGGCATGGACTTGCGCAAGTTTGTCGCGCGTGAGGGAAGCCAGAGATTGAGTCGCTTGAAGTTTTTGGTGTTTGCGCGCGCGCCGCATTCGCCGTGCGTTCCGGCGCTTCAAGAACGGGAATCACCGAGCGATCGCGCGCTGTTGCTTGGGGTTTAAGGCGCTTTTTGAGCGTGCCTGCAACGCGCCAGTGGCAACAGCACGAAATGCAAAAACATCGGGATGTTGTTGGGCCTACCGCCCGTTTGGCGGTCTGACTGCTGAATGATCTGAAACAAGGCAGGTGCGGTGGCTGCAAGATTTGGCGGGTTGTAGCTGAAACAGCAGATGTGTGTCGAACGCACAGGTTTGGTTGGACTGGCGCGTGTCTCGGTTCAAGGACGGCAGATTCGTTTTGTTCTTGTTTGCAGCCACCTGAGACCCGACAAACCAATCTGACCCCCCACAAACCAAGCCGACCCCTCACAACCCAATCCGACCCCTCGCGCCGATTAATCTGAACGGCCACAAACTATGTCGAACCCTACAAACCAATGCGACCCCTTCCACAAACCAGATGGAACCTAGCCCAAGCTATGTAGTACGACACCACATTACATTGACATGCTTTCTCTCTCCTTTTCTCTCTCTCTCTCTTTCTCTCTCTCTCTCTCTCTCTCTCTCTCTCTCTTTCTCTCTCTCTTTTCAATTGTGGGAACCTCAAAGCCTTCCAACACGTTCGGCTTTCTATGTTTGTAAATCCCGACCCCAAAAACTCGCCTCTTGTGCCGCCGTCTCATGGGTGTGTCTTCGCTTGAAAGCCTTTTTGTCAAATTTTTGGGCAAGCTGAAATGAAACCGTGCCCGAAACTGCGCTGGCAAAGTCGGAGCGCCCGAATGTTGCCTGGGACCCGCAGCCTCCCCCGTTGGTGCGTCTTGATAAGTTGGTTTGTGCTTGTGATGTTGGCTCAAGCGGTTTGCTCTTTGCAGTTGCCTTAGGTCGGAATCAGATGCTACATCAGGGGTCTTTAAGTAGAGGCCCATGGCCAAAATGCTGCGGGCTTATGCGCGCTTGTCCTTTTCCCATGGATAGGTCAGAAACTTGAATGATGCATCAAGTTACCATGAATCACCACATGTCCAGGCAGAGCCTGGGTTGGTTCTGTATCTAATAAACACAACCCTCCTGCAAAGTCGGGTTTGGCATGCGTTATTTGGGGCAATCGCCCAATTTCCCGTTCCAGCTGTGTGTTGAAAACACGGGAACCGTGCTAGATCACTCCTCAAAAGCCCGAGACATGAGGCCAACAGATCGTGCCATGCCAAAACTTGTCCGGCGGACCAGTGCAGCCGGAGCTCTGGGCGCCAAGCAGATTTGGCTGGTTTTCCTGCTTGGCCTTGGCCACGCGTTCTCCTTGCCGCGCCACTCCCTGCCAGTTTCATGGCCGGGCTCAACAAATTTCACTTGTCACCGTGTTTCCTTTTAATTTCCCCGATTCACGACAGTGAACTTGCTATCGTGATTTTGACCGTTTCCGGGGGTCACAAACCTATCACTTGACTTAAGTGCCAGGTCTCAAGGTGGAGGAAGAACTCCAGCCACCGGGTGGCGGCCGGGGACGTGCGCCATTTCCTGGCAGGACGGGACGAGACGGGCTTCGGGCTTGCGGCTTACCCCCCAAGGTCCCGGCATAGCGCGGAGATAGCGGGCTCACCGGACGGGTTCAAAGGAGCTCAAGCGTAGTGCTTTTGAGCCCTTTGAAAAGGGACACAAGAACCAATCTCTCGGGCTTCCTAATTCTGGACAACTACCTGGTGGTTTTATGGCAGCTTGCGCAACTTCAGCTTAGCACGCATTGGGCAAGTCTTGGGTTTGCGGCCTTACCATTCAAGCATCGCACAGCGAGAAGTTCTGGTCCCTCAAAGAGAGGGATTGCCAAAACGCTCCCCCATGTCATTTGGATCTCTCACCTTTTTTTAGTTCACAGTACCAATTAATTCAACAACTCCTTTCAAATATACATAGTTGGCGCCTGAATGCTCCAATCAGATGGCTCCATGTCTCTGGACAAACACTTCGTCAGCCTGGTTGCCGAGCAGCCTGACCAGGCGACGCGAGCCCGCTGCTCTGTGAGGTGGGTGCCCGGGTTGGGCAGGCGTTGCCAGACAAGCTGAAGCACAAGGAGGGGCGTGCGTGCGGGGCATCCCTCAGGAAGCAAAACAGAGTCAAATGTGCGTGGGCAGGGCAGTTTACACATCTTTTTGTGTTTTCGTCGCAACGCAGCGTTTTAAGCGTTTGTTAGACGCTCCTTGTTCAACAGCCAAGAATGGACATGCTTTCAGCACGGGTGACATTTGCATTGTAGCTGGTACAGCCGCAGGGATTCTTCACAAAGAAAGGTACACCGTACACCCTTCTGTGGGAAAACTTGTTTGTTGACACGTGAATCCAACCCTTTCGTGAGTAATCCCTGACGTTGCCCTTTGTTGCCAACTTTGAGTGCCTTCTGCAGGGTCCGCGTTTTTCCCCCCTTTTTGAGCAACCCTTTACGTGTCAAAATCGGGGACCTCAAGAATGGCTCCCTTCGCCAACCAAGACCCTCAAACAAGAATTTCGACATCATCCATGTTCGGGGTGAAGTCGGCTTTTTACTTTTGTGTGAGTTTCCCAGCATGATTATCTTACGACTTGGCCATTTCTCGTGACCTGTCTAATATGTTCATCCCTTCTTCATGTTTTGTAATGGGAGTTAAGTTCCTTTTTTAGCCAAGTTCCGAGTTCCGAGTTCTCAACGTTACCGAACTGCCGGGTTTTCCCATTCGGAGCAGGAGCTCTTCGAAGCCCACGCGGTGGCGGAGCTCGCGCAGCGGCACTTGACGCAATGGCGCAGCGAGGGCCTCGAGGTCCAAACGGCCGTGGAGCTCTGCGCGGGCTGCGGCCGGGGGGACCCAGCGCGACGCTTACGGGCGAAGAGATCCGGCTCCCCATTTGGGTAAAAGAGAAGAGATTGAAGAGATCTGTTTCTTTGCTTTGAAACCGGGGCCCGGTTTTTAAGAATCAAGTTGGAAAAACTGAGCCTTGGGATTTCATTTGAAGCGGTAGAGGGTAAATCGGAAATTCTAACTTGACCAATGCAAGCCCACCAATTAGAGGGTATTGCAGCGAATTGCCTTTGGGTGTGTCCTTTAAAAGACGGCCAGGGCATCTTCAGGGTTTGTGTTGCCATCCACAGTTGGTGCCCGCTTGTAGGTGCGAACAGCTGAGTTAGTGTCACCCAGGCTTGTGCTTGTGACACGCCCGCTGGCAGTTCACATGGCGTTGCGGCGCTGTAAGTGCAACTGTGGATCGAGGGTCTGTGGATCGAGGTTCTGGGTCCCTTTCCGAGACACACATTCTTCTTCTACAAAGGTTCCATTCATTAAAAAAGTTGCGATTCCCCCAATCCAGCCGTAAATCAGTTCTCGAAGACTTTGTGTGCGTCGTTTTATTCCCAAACCGAACCAGGCTCTCCCAAAAAGAACAACGCCTCCTGTGTCCAGGTTATTGGGAAACGGTGGGTTTCCATTGGATCCACAACACCGAGATTTAAAACGACCATCTACTCAGAAAGAGAGAGAAATTCCTCTGCGTTTTTTTTTTTTTGGTGGGTGGGGGGAGTTTTTTTGGGGTGGGGAGCTTTTTCGCTGCGATTCTTGTCGGACCATTTGGATGGTTTCTGGGTACGGCTGTGAGGCCTGGTGGGCATCTTCCTGGCCCTGCTGGACCGGCGTCTGCGGGTGCTCCAGCTGGACCGGCGGCGCTCGAAGCTGGCGGCCCAACTGCACGAGATGGCCGACAGTTGGGACCTCCACGAAGCCCGGTAGCGCGTGTCCATCTTTGTTTTGTATAAGAAAAGGTTATTTTTTTGTATTATCATGTGTTTTCTTCATTTTTTCGGCCATGTTGTTTCCCTCTCCTTTTCTGATGTCGTCAGTGGGGCGGCGGCCCGGACGCGGCCGCGGTGTTTGTGCTTAGGGTGTTCCAAGCACCTGGAGTCTCCATGACCCTTCAAGAATGGGGTCATTACCCAAAGGGGTTATGACCCCTTTTTCTAGGGGTCATGGAGACTCTAGGCAGATTTGTTTTAGGGTGGCACAATTTTGTGAGGAAAGGCTCGGCTGGCGCGTGGCGGATCTCCGTCCGGCTGGGGAGGAAGCCGCGGAGTTCGAGCCCGGCTCGCTGGTGCTGGCGTGCCACGCGTGCGGGCTGCTGAGTGATGAGGCGAGTTGGGACTCATGGCTTGGGTTGGAGCCGAGTCAGTTTCGATGCCTAAGCCAAAACCATATCGGGTAAAGGGGCCCCGGAGGGTTCCAGTCCTTGTTTGCCCAATGTTCCAAGGAGGCCAAAAGCCGACTTTTTGGCGGACACTTTGGTTTTTATAGATTTGTTTGTTTCAAGGGGAGCCAAAAAAAGGAAAACCATGTTTTGGGGGTTGACTTACTTTGCAAATTAGCACCCTGAAAGGGAATGTCCTTTTCCCCAACGAGATTCCGATCTTAGATTGGAGGAGAAGCCTCAAATGCGATGGCAAGCAACTTCTTTTTTCCCCAACAGCTGAAAGCTTTGGGGTCTCAGCCCAGATAGGCTCCGGGGTGGTCCGGGGCGGCCCTGAGGCAAGGTTCCACGAGGGTTCCACCAGGGTTCCATCAAAATTCCACGAACGTTCCACGAGGGTCCCACGAGGTTCTGCGAGGGCTGCGGGGTGCGAGCACTAAAAAGAGCACCGCGTGCTGGGGATATCACCTGAGCTTAGTTTTTTGTAAGTCACGTGTCTTTTTGGCCAAACCTGGTGTGCCACCGGTGAGCTGGCAGCGAACGTGAGGCGATGGCGGCCGCCGTCGCGGCGCGCCTGCCCCTGATTCTGCTGCCCTGCTGCTACGCGCGGAATCCCAAGGCGCTGGTGCGAGCCAAGCGGGGGCACCCCAGCTTCGCGCGGCCTGGCGATCAAGAGCAACCATTTTGGTTCCTCTTTTTTTGTTTTGTTCTTGTTTGTTTTCCCAATCCAAAGGGACACCCAGGTATGGCTCATGCGTCATGTTCCAGTGCTAGCCACAATTTTCTCTCATTTTTCTTAAGACGGGGATGGACATGTTTTCCCAAAACAACCTTATGTTCTTCCATTGCGCAAAAGGATCCCGTTTGCGACGCGTCATTTTTGGCGAGGTTTCTCACAATGAAACAATTTTCCATATTTTCCCAAAACGAAGAAAGTGAAAGGATGTTTCATTGACCCAGGTGGCCTCGATATCCCTGGCTAGAGAGAGGCGCTGTGAACCGCTTGGGGCGCGACGCTGTCGATGCTGCCAGGGTGAGCTTCCTAGAGCAGAATGCCTACAAGGCGGTGGCGTGTGGCGTGTGGGGCTACCCGCGAAGATGAGAGGACCGCGAGACGCTATGAGGAAATTCTACGTCCAGAGGAAATTCCCCATTTTTGGAAGTGGGGTAAGGGGTAAGGGGTTGTGCTGACGGGAAACCTTGAGGCTAAGCGAAGGGAAGCCAAGGGAAGCGAAGGGAAACCAATGCTTGCCAAAAATGGTTTTGGGACCCGGAAAGACCTCCGCCATTCTGGGGCTTTTTGTATGGAGCTAAAGGTGAGCTTGTGTTGTCCAAAGCCCCGAAGAAAATTTGAGCGTCATTGAGTTTTGCTTGGACCCTGTTCCTGTCAAGCGGATGAACATTAAGGTCACTCCACCACTAAAACGATCCCGAGCCAAATCATGGTGACTGTTCATGCTTGGTTCTTGTCCCTGCCTCGCCTTTTGGCATATGGACTGAAGTTGAAGTGACCGTGAGACCTGGGCCAGAGAGAGCTGGTGGCAGGTGGTGTACGACCACATCGATGCCGAGATCACTGAGTTCAATCGAGCTATTGTCGCAGCTCCAACATAGCTACAGCAACGGCGAGGAGGGGCTTGGTGAACCCTCTTTTTCCCTTGATGGATTTAAGCATCATCCTTAGAAAAAGAACCTCAAGCGAGCTTCCTTGAAGTAATGAGGGAGGAGGGGGCCATCCATCAACGGGGCCTTTTGCACTGGGTGTAAAGCAATTCCCATTGTTCCAGACATTTGAACAAAAACAACCAGGCTACAGGGAACGAGGCCTTTTGTACGCGTGGTTTCATGATGGTTTGTACACGGGGTCTGGTAGTTCCTACTCATTTGTTGGTTGTTTGTACACGTTGCCCTTTTTCCCCAGCTTCGAGGCAATGGCAGGTGCGAACTTGGCAAATCTAGCTTCATCACCCAAATTGGCAATTTGAAGGATGGTGTCCTTTCTCGGGGTGATGTTTTTGCAGGAGCAGCAAGAGCCCGTTGGAGGGGTTACTGTGTGTTCTGTCTGAAAACGGTGGGCCCTGAAATGGCGAAACGTCTTCTTGCACAAGACTGCCATTTGTCTTCCCGTTGGTGACTTTGGTCTGGCCTAAGAAGTAGCGTACACCGTCCCCCTAAACGCAATCTATTGCCCTTTAGGGGGTGCCTCCAGAAACGAGGTGACTCTTTGCACACGGATGGGTCTTCCCCCCTATCCTGAGCTCTGTCCCGTGTACACATACCCATATCCTTCCCCAAAGTTGGGCCTGATTTTGTGCAAAACCGTGATTTTCCTCATAAAACGCACGCACACATATGCAGGACCTTGAGATGGGGGTCGTCAACTGCGAGCAGGTCACGGAAGCGCGCGACTCGAATCACGTCGAGGTGGAGCTCTGATGGAGTTTGCTCCGATAAGTGGGTTGGACAATTCGGACCCCAAAGCCATCCGGGTAAAGGGGATCCTTGTCTTTCAGGCCCTTCCTTCCTTATCTCGGCTTCAATCAGAAGCGGGCAGATCGTCTGTCATGCAAAAGAGTCACAGCTCAGGTTGCCAGCCGAGACAGCTCAGGTTCTGGTTTCGTCTGCCCAAGCGCCCACCAAGTGGCACCCTCCTTACTTTCGGGGGTTTTGCATCCAGTTTCTGAGATGTGACTGGCGGAAGCCGAGAGCTCCCAAGCTGCGATTTTCCGCAGCCACCCTGGCTCGAGGGAGGCGAACGCCTCCTTGGCATAGCAAAGCCAGGAACGGTTGGCTATGGGATGTGGCGCTTGCCGCCTGGCACAGCAGTTTTGGCCCTTCCCTCCCTCTTTTCTGTTTTTCAGCATCTTCCCCTGGTTCAACCTCCTCCCTATTCTTTCCTGGCACAGTTTGTCCTTCCCTTCCTCTTCTTTTATTCCCTTGCTGAATCGATGCGTGGGGTGGGGGGGGGTGGAGGAACAGTTGGAAAGGGAGGCGCTTCTCTGATTTGTCAAAAGTTCATTCGACGTCCTTCTGAGGAAACGTTGCATAGATTGCATGCACGCTTGCTTTTTTTTCTTCCCCCGGGTCCCCTGCCTTCTCTCAGCCACGTGTCACACTGAGCCACAATACAAACCGATTCGGGTAGAAGGTTACGGGCTAATCCCAAGATGCGGATCTCTGAATTCTTCTGTACAATTTATCTCAATTTTTTGGGTCGACTTTCTTTCCCGAGGCAAAGCGTCGGACGACGTCTTTGAGGTGAACTTCTATGACAGCTACAAGCTGGGCAAGAAGCTCGGGCAGGGGACCTTCGGCCAGGCCGGGCAAGTTGGACATGGGAAAGCCAAGGAAAAGGCACATCCATGTCAAGTATCATTTTTTTACGCTGCCGAGGAAACAGCATTTCTTTTTGTTGTGCTGGTATTGTTCAGGTGGACAACGAGAACCTGACAGAGGGTCTTTCTTTTTCCCAGTTGTTCAGTGGCGCCTGGTAAAACCCTTCTTGTTTAGCGGGTCCCCCATTCACAGTTATCGACCCCCCAAACAAATATACTTCGATGCCAATTCTTGGTGCCCAAATATAAGGGTCCAAAAACAGTAGTTCACTCTTATGGTGGCCAAACTGGCTTGAAGCACCCCCGCCCATTCGAATTTCTGCGGCCCAACTGGGTCTAAGTCTGGTCAAGAGAAGTGGGTTTTACCGTTTTACTCGAAGTGTGTCGTGTCAGGTGCGGCTGGCCAAGGACAAGTTCAACGACGCGGAGCTGGCGGTGAAGATTGTGGACGTGAGGCACTACGACGAGAAGACCGGCGCCTGCACGGGCGAGATAAGCCGTTCTCGGAACAAGGCGAGGGGTTGACCAGCTTGACCCTTTTAACTAAGGTAACTAAGGTTCCGACCCTTCTTAACAAATCAAAAGCAAGCTTTTGGGTTGGTTTAACCATCACCTTTTGGGCCACTCTTAGACGAGCTTCTCTTGGTGAGGTGATGTTGAAGCGGGAAATACGGGGAGCCCTTTTAACATTACCATTACTAGCATTAGTAGTTCGGATTGTGATTCGTTTGTTCCCGGACATTGTCTATTTGTTTTAAGAAGGGGTATCATGTACTTGTTCGATTAGGGTGATGATGTATATATATATATATATATCTATATTCAGCATCATTATTGTTTCGTTTTGACCCTTTGGGGGTTGGTTTTTGGTGCCCCGTTTACCAGCTTTTTCAGTCTCATGACCTCTCCAATGGAGAACCCGGACCCTAACTGCCCCCCATTTTTCCATTGTCAAAGTCACCCCCTAGGCAAGGCTAAAGGGAAACTATCCAGTTTCCTTCGATAAGACGCAGCAGCAGTCGAACACACAAATGAAAAGCAAGCCTGAAGCCTCCAAAAAGATTTTCAAGGTGCCCCAGAAGCAGTTGTTGTTTTTGCGTTTTTCTTCCAGAAAGGGAATCAGGTCGTCACTTGGCAAGGCAACTCGTGACGAGATTCTGCACTGGAAGCGCATTTGCGCCTCGAATTGCGAACACGTGGTGAAGCTGCACAAGGCGAGTCGCTGACTTTTTTTTCCAAACAACACGTTGATCTCATTTTTCCTCGGGAGTATTTCTGGGGTCTCCAAAACAATTCATTTACGGGTAAACAACACGCTGAACATACTCAGACCATATTTTGGAGTATCCCAGATGGCCAAGATTTGCCAAAGAACCCCATTTCGGATTCTCCCGAAAAGCCACGGGACCTCGAAGTTTCCGGGAGAGAGATCGACAGGCCTTCTCCGACAATTCTTTGTACTATATGGTGTGCGAGCGTTGCAAGCGTTCGATGCTGGACATGACTGTGGACGGTTTGACGGAGGGGGACTTGTCCAACATGTTCCAGCAGATGTCAAAAGGCACGATTCGGGGGTTGCTGGCTTCATTCGTCTATTGGCCAAAAGCTCAGGCAGCACCTGAATAGCTTGTCCGGATTTTCCGAACCGAAAAGGGGGTGGGGAAGATAACCCTGGTGAAAGGGAACGAAAAGGAAACCATTTTTTCAGGTCCCTCAAACTTAGGAAGGACGAAACCGGACACATTTGGCAATGTGACACGCGTTCATTGGGATCAAGATTTGTTGGTCAAAACTTGAACCCACAAAAGTGGTTGTGGATTTGAACCCCTGCTTCTTGTGAATGTATAAAAACCGCCTGCCCTGTCCACCAATGCAAACCACAACAAATGGAAGCGGATTCCAGGCATTTTGCACACCCACTCCTGCGGCATCGTCCACCGGGATGTGAAGCCGGACAACTTTCTCTGGGGGGGTCCCACTCACAGCAGCGCCATGCGAATGGCACAGCTTTTTTTTGTCTCGGCTTTTTGTAGAGTATTTTTTTTTTCCTCCAATGTTCTGCCAGTTTGTTCTTTGCCGATTATCTTCAATGTTGTTTTGCCAATGTTGTTTTGTTTGTTTGTTTGCTTTTTTTTTTGTGTGTGTGTTTCCGGAATTCTTATATTTTCCTGCTTGTTTGTTTGTTTGTTTGTTTGTTTGTTTGTTTGTTTGTTTGTTTGTGCGTTCGTTCTGTTTTGTTTGTTCGTTCTGTTTTGTTTGTTCTTTGTTTTTTAGTTTGTTTTGCTTTCTGGTTCTCATTATTTAGAAGGAAAGAACAACTTGTTTTTCTCGGCATACGACGGGTTGGAACAACTCTGGCCATTCAAATCATGACCTCCTCCGCCAGGCCACCGTTCTGGGGTTAAGCCGTTCGGTTTTGTGCCAAGATGCGCTGGATGCCATGCATGTTGGAAGTGAACGAACCACATCCAACCATATAACAATGGTCAAGTTTTACGTCCTGTGTTCGGGGGGGAAGAGAACGAACCTGATCCAAAACAAATCTTTTATAGCTCCTGGTGGTGGCGCGGCCACTCGAAATCTCCAGTTTCAACAAATAAGATTTACACTACCCCCTGAAGCCCTGGCCCGACCCCCCAAAATTTAAATGTCGTAACCGTAGAGTAGCAAGAGCCCTCATCTTCGTGCCTTCCAGCTCCCTAGCTCCAGCCATGCCCAAAGATTGGATCGCGGCAAAGGCAAAGTACCTCTTGAAATCGGAGATTTGAACTGGGCCGGCCCGGCAGTAGAGAATCCTTGGCTTTTGTTCATATGTGATTGGTGACACCGTGGTTTTGTTTGTGTGTGTTTCAGGTGCTCTTGTGATTGCTCAACATTGTTTTGAAGGGACACCAACCACATTCACATGTTTGATTGTGTTTTTTTTTGGGGGGGGTCCCATTATTTTGACACTCGCCCACTCGCTTCAAAATTGGGCGGCATCAAGAATACCAATTGACTTTACATTTCTTCTCGATCTTTCCTGGCTTCATTTTTTTAAACTATGTTGCAGAGCTTCCATTTTTTGTTATTCTCTTCAACCATGGTTCACGGATCATTTCTCCAATTTCGGGGATCCAAGATTCTTTTGCCCCAAGAAAAGGAGAAAAGGAAAGACAAGAAGAAAAAAACAACTTCGGGCTGAAGGCACCTTGAAGCTTTGTGACTTTGGGCTGGCCGCCACGATGCCCGCGGTGGGCAAGCTGGGGGGTATCTACGGGACGGCGCCCTACATGGCCCCAGAGATGCTGAGGCCGGGGGGTACTGCCTAAACTAAGAGGGAACAAGGCAGAGCAGGCAGCGCCTTTTGCCAGCGAACCCATTCCAACAAACGCTGGTCCGCGGACGTGGTTCTGTGCTTTCGCAGGCAGCGCCACGTGGCAAGTTTTCGCAAGGATAGGGGCTGGCTGCAGCATGTTGAAGCCTTGGTTTCATCCAATTTTGCCTTGGTTTTGGTTGTGCAGGCAGCGTTTTTGCAATTGGGCTTGCAGCACTTCCACATCCAACTGCAAGATGCTTTGTGAAGTTCCCAACAGCCCCCCCAGCGTCACCCGCTCAGCATCCAAAGCTGGCGTAGGCTCTTGCTTGCTCCTTTGGGCCATAAATCCGCGGCCGGATTGATGGTGCTGACCAACCGCCTGCGAGAGCTCCGCGATGCTCAGCGCTTGCTCCTTAGGTGTTCAAGCTGTGCAAAGCCAAGGCGGCACCTTCGCAAGCAAACGACGACAAACTGAACCGCGAGACACGGTTCCGCCCAAATGGCGCCGCGCATGTGCGTGAAGGGTTTGTGCAAGAGGGACTTTTTGGAACCCCATGCAAACTGATCTTGAAACAGAAACAACAGCACCCATGATAATGAAGCAAAAGCAACACATTTTAACTCTATCGATAATACTGCACAATGCAGAATAAAGCAGCAGCAACACCACCAGCATCATCACCAGCGCAGCCAGAACCTGTTTCGGACGGACGATGGTGGAGTCGAATCCTTGCAGCTCTGCCGAAGACTGACTAAGAAGGACGACACTTTTAGTGTAGACGCTGACGGGTTTGCCAGCAACAACATCCCCAGCATCACCACCCCAAGAAACTGGCAGTGAAGCGACAGTTGTTTTAGTGGCAGTTGTTATGATAGTGAAGCACACGCGATAGTGAAGCAGCAACGCTGCGGCGCGCTTCCCTCGCGCCCCACGGACCAAAAAGATGGGGTGGTCCAGTAGGCCCTGCCGTTGTATCTTGCCCGGACACTAGATGGCGCTGGTTCACAGGGGGGACATCTACACAGAGGACTTGTCTAAAGAGATCGAGGTTCTGGCAAACGGTGTCCCTCCAAGGGCATGGGAATCAGCCACTCAACGGTCAGGCATAAACCCCAAGTGCTGCTGGGTTGTTCAAAAGGGCGCAGGGATGTTCTACCCATTTCTTTTGGGGCGGGCAACGGCGGTTTCAAGGTACCGTCCAAAAGAAGTCCCACCCATCTTTTTGTTGCCTAGAACAGAACGATTTGGGACACATGCAGCCCCAAGCTCTGGACCTTTGGATGCCCCCAACAATGAAGCCGCAGTAAGAGACCTGAATCCCCGCAAGAGACCTGCTGAATGCAAGGGGCGTGGGCTACGACTATTTGGTGGATGTGTGGTCCCTGGGGGCGGTGGCCTACTTGCTGTCCTTCGGCAGGTTCCCCTATACTCCCATGGAGCAGACCTCCGCGTCCATGAAGGATGCGATCAGCAAGGAGCTGAGTCGCCTCAAAAGGTGCTGCTCCAACGCAACGTTATCATAGGGCCCAAAAAGCGGATGCTCCATATGGTTTTTGGGCTCTATGCTCATCTGCCAGGGGCCTAAATCTTCGTTTTGTTGTATCGATTTTCCTACTCTCTAAGCTATTGAACCAACTTGCCTCATGGGAAATTGTGCTTCACATTTTGAGGGACCTTTTTTTACATCTCGAGGGGCCTCTCAAAATGCTTTCAGGCCCCGACCATGTTCAAAATCTAACGAGCTCACGACTTCAAGCGATGCACGCGTAAAGAAAACGAGGACTCGGGGGTTTGTTGCCCCTCTGGCCTTTGTGCCCCAAGGGGCAGCTGTCTCAAGTGGCCAGGACTCGCCAGCTTTGCGGATCCCACTGGAGAGGGCAGCGGAGGGCAGATGCTCCGAGCATAAGTCACCGTTTGGCCCTTGGGTTTCTTTTTGCAACAGGCAACAAGTCAAGCCAATTTTTGCAGGGGTCCACCTAATTGTTTGGGTGCAAGTTGAGGGAGGGGAGGGGTGTTGTTTTCGTTAACCCACCACTGACTTTGAACACAGTAAACAAATTGGGGCTAGAAACTGCACGCGCGGGTGTGTCTCTCTCTCAGTGTGTGTGTGTGTGTGTGTGTGTGTGTGTGTGTGTGTGTGTGTGTGTGTGTGTGTGTGTGTGTGTGTGTGTGTGTGTGTGTGTGTGTGTGTGTATCTTTGCGTGTCGCGTGTTTGTGTTTGTTTGTGTGGGCGCGCTTTCGCGTGCCTGCGCGCGTGGCTCCGAAGTGAGCCCTCAGTGAGATCCGGCCCAAAGGCCTGGGCTCCGAGGATGCTCCGAGCAGCTGATCAGCTTCATTGCCAGCAGCCTGTGCCGCGACGCCACGAAGCGCTCCTCAGTGCAGCAGCTGCTGCAGCACCCCTTCCTCGCAATCCCCTCGAGACCGGAATCGCCGACAGAGGACAGGGTTGAGACCTTAGCCAGCTTCTAACTCTAGACAAAAATGGTGTTCGGATTTCTGCCTTTATACTCGCCTAAGTATGAACATGAAACCTCAACAAAAAACATGACTTGTAGCGCAAAGCTTGGGCCTCAGGTTGGCTTGCAGACTGCCGCTGCTTACCGCTTGGTTGAAGGCTGTTCGGGTTGAGTTGCCGCTTGATTTTGACAACTCGGCCTGCGTTTGATTTCAACGTGTTTGAACAGCTTGGGGCATGCAAAGCCTGAACAAAACATCTGCAGAGTTGTATTTCGCAGGAGTTTGAGCCGAGAAAATCATTGGTTTAGATCTTTTGGGTTTCCTTTTTGGTTTCCCTCACAGGCCTGGTATAGCACCCAAAGGTTCCCGTGACCCAACAGCGCCCGC